TAGCAGATAAAATTATAATAAATTTTTTATGATAATCAGTAAATTTTTGATATAATTTTGCAAGGTAATCTGTCAATTTTTTCTTCCATAGAAAGAGTATGTCCAGTTAGTTACTGAAATGAGAATGACTCAAGCAATTGGCCACCAAATAAACGCATTCACTGAAGGATTCTATGAGATAATACCTCACCATTTAATATCATTATTTGATGAATATGAACTGGTAGGTAACAGTATCTAATTAATCTTTGATTAGTAGGGGCTGCTCCATTCATAGGAGCTACTGTTGTCTGGTCTACCTGATATTGATGTTAAGGACTGGATTAAGAACACTGATTATAATGGGTACAGTGAAGAACACCCTGTAATTAAGGTAATAATAATTATTAACTTTATAATTACAGTTTATATATTTTTTTATTTTTAGTGGTTCTGGGAGGTTGTTGAAATGATGGATAAAAAGACTTTAGCTATTTTATTGCAGTTTGTGACCGGAAGGTAAAATATTTTTATTGGGAAGTTCTTGTTGAATTTTATTGTCACGAAATCTGTGACAAGTAAAAAACCCATTAGTTCCATTGTCACGAAATTCGTGACAAGCAAAAACCCATTAGTTCCGTTGTCACGAAATCTGTGACAAGCAAAAAACCCATTAGTTCCATTGTCACGAAATCCGTGACAAGCAGAAAATCCATTTGTTCCCTTGTCACGAAATCTGTGACAAGCAAAAAACCCATTAGTTCCATTGTCACGAAATCCGTGACAAGCAGAAAATCCATTTGTTCCCTTGTCACGAAATCTGTGACAAGCAAAAAACCCATTAGTTCCATTGTCACGAAATCCGTGACAAGCAGAAAATCCATTTGTTCCCTTGTCACGAAATCTGTGACAAGCAAAAAACCCATTAGTTCCATTGTCACAAAATCCGTGACAAGCAAAAACCCATTAGTTCCATTGTCACGAAATCTGTGACAAGCAAAAAACCCATTAGTTCCATTGTCACGAAATTCGGGACAAGCAAAAACCCATTAGTTCCGTTGTCACGAAATCTGTGACAAGCAAAAAACCCATTAGTTCCATTGTCACGAAATCCGTGACAAGCAGAAAATCCATTTGTTCCCTTGTCACGAAATCTGTGACAAGCAAAAAGCCATTAGTTCCATTGTCACGAAATCTGTGACAAGCAAAAAACCCATTAGTTCCATTGTCACAGAATTCATGACAAGCAAAAACCCATAATTATTTTTTTCCAATAGTTCTAGGGTTCCTCTTGGTGGTTTTGCTAATCTTGTTGGTGCCTCTGGTCTTACGAAGTTCACAATATCTCAGTTGAACTATGAACCTAACAGACTACCAATGGCAAGTACTTGGTAAGCAGTGAAAATAATCATTAAAAATATTACAAATTATGAAATGAATTACATGTAACTTATACAAGAATCTATTCCAATTTTACTTCCAATACCCCTTCATTGTCTCCGATAGCTTCCTAGTTAAAGTTTCATTTAGTTTTGCTAAAAGTCCCCGGTTCTATTCCCACTTTCCTCTTCATTTTTCTTTTTTTTGCTTTGAGTTTTTAAAGTTATTCTGCCTACAATATCCTTACCTGCCTATTTTAGATGCTTCTCTTTATTGAGATGGGCTACATGCAGTGTTTATACATGTACTTGTATACATACAGGTACATGTAAGTAGATCTACATGTACATGTATTTTCATGTTTTTATACATGCATGATGTATATGTACATACTTATTTTTTCTAGTTTTAATTTATTGAAATTGCCCGAGTACCCAAATAAGGACATTCTTAAGGAAAGGCTCAACTTTGCACTAACTTGTGGGACAAGTCTCATTGACATCACATGACATCGTATGACATCATATGACATCATAGTAGTGCAATAATTAATTACAATAGTAGCATTTATCGTGTGATTTTAATTCATTTTATTTTTTTATAATGTGATGCATCTGTGAAATAATTAATTTTTTAATAATCATAAATAATAATAATAAACAAATTTTGAACAAAAATTAACGACGATTATTTCCAAAGTTTAATGATGCCAGCAGCCAACCTGCCCCTCCTCCTCTTGATGCCTCCTTCTAATGGACAGAATCCTATTGCTACTAATGGATATGAATCGTCTCTGCCCGTTGACCCACTCCCTCCTCCTCCTCCTCCTCTTGATGCTGTTTTTAACTCTCTTAAAACTTTGACTCCTTCAATGACTTGAGAACTAAAAAGTAGAATGCACAATTAATAATGAGGACAAATTATAAAAATGGAGAAATCTGCCTATAACTATTTTTGGCAAACTTTGCTATAGTCCCTGTACTATAGTACACTACAGAGATTTCAGCCTAATTTTTGAGCAACTTTAAAAATTCATAAAAAATCCAAATTCGATTGGAATCACCTGAAACTTTCTACACAGCATAAGTTCATGTATATGTATCAGAAAATGTTATTTTTAAAAATGATAATTCTCTACTTTACAATTTTGGCAAAATTTGGCCAATACCCCTGTACAGTATAGGGACCTAGCTTTGTCAATTTTTGGAGAAATTATGTTTGATCAAAATCAGTTCTACTTGCATAATTATGTACAGTTTATGATGTACCTATAAAATATGTCAATTTTCTCAGATCCAACCCCAGCCTTCACTATACAGCTGGACTCCGAAGGATTATTAAGATGCCATAACCTGATGAACCTGTCAGTGCCTCCAGTCACTAATCTCAACCTTAGCTAGACTGATTGAGAGAAAGAGAGATGAAAACAATTAAAAAATTGATCTAAATTATTATTATTATTTTATTACATGTATTATTATTTTTAGGGAAATTTGGAAGCCATACAAGAGCTCCTTACTAAATACAGCCACTGTTTCTAGTGGGAGCTAATAAAACAGAAAAATAGCTACAATGCATTAAAGCTAAAACAAATAATAGCGTATAGCTATAGTATTATCACAATAAAAATAGATTTTTATGCTCAGCAGGTGCTAATAAAAGCAATGACCTTAGATAAAAGGGGAATCCGGATTAGTTCTCACTACAAGGCAGTCCACATCCGACAGGAGTGACCAAAAGAGGCTGGCAGTGGACATAATGGAAGCCCATTTGGTCAATCACACACACACACCTGCTGTACACCAGCTGGTGATATTATTATAGAGATACATTCCTTGCAAATGTAGTGTATTGTGTGTGGTTGCTGTTATGTCAAAATTACTCCATTGGAACATGATCTCTTGTATTAATTGTAGACTACACAATATACATGTACAATTTACATGTATGACCTTAAACTAGAAGAAAACTACTGCCAGCCTCTTTTGATCCTCACCTCTGAGAATTATGGGATCACTTCAGACTATCCCTCTAACCATTGGATATACCTTTATCTCTCTCTCACACAAACACAGATAGTAAATAATTTTAATTTAAAGTCATACATTGTACGTGTACAGGTACATGTATGCAGTCTATAATGTACATGCACTTTTGAATTGTACATACTATACATGCATACATTGTACACTTACCATTCAAATAATGAATCAAGGTCTTGTTGCTTCATGACACAGTCTAAGACACTGCATGGTATTGGATCACTAATAGCATTTAATAATACCAACTGAGGAGAGAGAGAGAGATTGAACACAAAATTATTAAAAAGTAGGTATGACAGTAAATAATTTAAGGTCATACATGTACTTATATACATGTATGCATGTAGTCTACAATTAATACAAGAGGTCATGTTCCAATGGAGTCAGTTGTACACTGAGTGTACTTTTGAATTGTATGTACTTGTACATGAACATACTTACCATTCAAATAATGAATCAACTAATAGCATTTAACAACACCATTACACACATACATGTATAGTAACAGTATGAACCACATTACCTTATTGTCCAGCTCTAGTATATTGTTATACTAAAGGAATGGTTGCACTACTGGAGCAATGTAACACAAAGCATCAATATCATCTAATTGACTAGCAGCTGCCATTATGAAACCAACTGAACCATATCTAGCTATTCTACACACAGGGGAGAGAGGGAGGGAGGAGAGGAGAGAGAAAGGAGGTAGAGAAAAGAAAGGAGCATATTATACAACTATACATTTAAATTATTTGGTTCACATTATAACACATACAAGTAGATTAATTGATGTATTTATATTATTATTATTATTATTATTATTATTATTATTATTATTATTATTATTATTATTATTGTTCTTGTTGTTAACTTTAATCACTAAATAAGTATTTTTACATATTTATTTGTTCAATCACAAAATACATTTACATACTGTGATTACATAGCAAAAAGTGCTTATTTTTGCTGTTGTCAAAAAACTTTTAATTGTTTGATAAGTGATTCTAAGTGTTTTCTAGAAAATACAATGTTGAAGAGCCATATTATTGGGTATTAAAGGGTTAAGATAGGTTAGAAAACATTATCATTATTATCATCATGATCATTATTATTATTATCCAGAGCCAAGTGGAGAGGTCTTCATACTGAAAATGGCTCTGGGATCAACCCACTACACTTTTATTGACTCCTATTAACTATTGACTTATTTTTCAAATAATAATTATGATAATTCTTTTTTTACATCTAAGTGTATGTGTTTTTAACCTGTTTTATTTCATTAAATAATAATAATTATTAATGTACTTATTATTATTATTATTTCTCACAGGGTGTGCTATGAAAGGTACTATTTGTTGTAGTGATGATATGAGGAATCTTAAGTTAAAGAGCCCATTGATACACAATACTGTCATGGAGGAGATAGCTTCACATATCACTGCCTCTTCTGGATCACCGTAAACCCTGAGAGGGGGAGAGAGGGGAGGATAAGAGAAGGGAAAATTAATATTCTAATTTGTAAAAAAACAATTATTAAATTATACAATAACGATAATAATGAATTGCATGCACTATATACACATCTAGGCCTGAGGATTTTATTCCCAGAGTAAAAAAAAGAATAATAGGTGGTCTAATGAAGAATAATTCTGGAATAATATAGGGCAAAAATTTTAAAATTGTGCAGTAGGTGTGGGTGAATGCTTAGTAAATCTTGTCTAGCACCTTCAAGTTATCCGTAAGTGTGCTTTACAAGGCTCAATTGCGGTAGCCTTATGATGTTAGACTACTGCAGCATAATGAGCATTGAATGTGACAAATTTTATTATTTTAATTGTTTATTTTTAAAATACTTTGGAATAATAATAATAGGAATGTTAGGCAAATAGATGTATATTAGGAATAAGGGAATAGAATAATAGGGACATTTTTGGGAATAATATCCTCGGCTAGCCCTAACCAATGGGGGCGTATAGGCACTACATTTGATGGCTACCTT